GCGGAAAAAAGTTCTTTTGACATTTTGATAGATATGATACATCGTTATATAATTTAAAAAAAAAATTAAATTGATATTTATTTATAAAACGAATAAAGGGAAAAAGTATTTATACGGCTATTCAAATGTTCCATGAGACATTTTTACCAAATAGATCGTATCAAATCTCAAATGTCGATATTGCAACAAGCACACGTTTCTCCAGGTCAACTTTCAACTGTCAAATGTTTTTATTTTGTTTTACACGCGCCAAAGAATTCGAGCCATCGCGTCGAGCTGAAAATTCCGTCCCGGGTTTTGCGCCGGTCGTTGTTCCGACTGGCTGTTGGCCGGACTCGACGGGTTGTGGCGCAATTAAATTAAATGCTTCGGATTAATTGTTCGAAAGCAGTTAAATTAGTTGCGTTTGTTTCGCCCGATTTTTGCGCAATCTCGCTGCGGAATGCGTGAGATGCACGCATCGGGGGAATTTCGTTACCCGCGGCCCCTCGCGCGTTATATAGCTCGGTGCCCTGCGAAATCACCGCGATGCAAACGTATCAACGCGGAACGATGGCGTGCCCCGAAAAATTCATTTGCAAAAGCCGCATTCGACGCGCCTCCGTCACACACTGAGTGAGAGGGAATACTGCGCGATCGACGCACAACGAGCGCATTTTGTCAGTACTTGATTAAAAGCTTAAACAGAGTCGACCCAATTATTAATGTAATGCACAGCGGGCAATGCAAATTTTACAATTATAACAACGAATTTGATGTATAACATTGAATTTTAAAGCGTCGTTGACCAGATTTTAGACCACTAAATGCGAAATTTATGTATAAAATCAACATTTCTATATATAATATAAATACAAATCTCCTTTTCTGTAATTTCATATTTATTTTAAATACAACTTGATATATAAAATGCATTCTCATATTTTATCTCATATTAAATCTTACTGAGAGACAAAGGAGAGGAGAATATTGAATGAAAAAGAAAAATAAAAAAAAACTAGAGTATAAATAAGACACTCTTGCGTTATTATTTCCATCTACGATGGCTCACAATTTTCCTCCGATATCGCGGCGAAGATCCTCCTATTACCACGCATACCGGCAGCTACTGAAGACCACCCCAATGCCCCGTCTCGATGATATTCGACCGGCCAATCCCCGTCGAGGATCGCGCTAGGTATAGCCGTCAAGCTAGCCGAGAGCTGCATCCTAGAGTGCAGCTGCAGCGCCGGCGCGGACTCTTGAGCCGCATTGCTCGGATTCTGGCGAGGATGCGTCTAGGAGCGAGAGGCTGACGAGCTCGCAAGTAACGCGCCGATAGAGACATGGTCAGACTGGCATCCGGCCGCAAGCTCTCGACCTCATCGCAACCATACGCTCGCGCCCTCCCCGAGCTGGTCCTCCTCACCCATGGCTTTCGAGCTAGTCCGCCCACCCACCATAGACAGTCCTCCCCTCGTTCCTGCGAATGGGAGCGTGCAACATGTCGAGACATTCGGGACACGACGGATCGAGGAGAGATATGCATCATTTGGTTACCCGACTGGCCGACTAGCGCGTCTCCGATCGACGTGCCTACGGATGCATCCTCGATCGGATTGGCTCGAGCGATTGGTATGCGAAAGGGTCCTCCAGTCAAGATTTTCAGCATAATTGCGCCCCGAGCATGCCGCTCAGATTCGGATCCACGCGTCTGCGTTCCGATATATCCGTTCGTCCGCGTGCCCGTATGCACTCGTGTACTTCGTTATCGGAGAACGTTACGTCGCCTGGTAACCATAATAGCGGAAGAGTAATAGGGGCGCTAATACGAAATACCGTATTGGCGCATTCGTGTCGAATATCTCATTCTCCGCTTTTAAGACATTATCATATATCTGGAATGTTTGCGAAAATATTTTCATTATTTTCTAGCGAAGAAAATATCATTAATAGCTTATAACAATTACAGTCCTAATATTTGTTAAAGAAGATAATTGTTGGTGACCAAGAAATTTGTGAATAAACAATTTAGATTTAGAACAACCTACATCGTCTGTGCTTGTTCTTTCAAAATCTTTGAAATAACACGAGATGTGAAAATTACCTCGCGTAACATTAAGTGAATCTTATGATCTGAATCACATAACTTAACTTTTATTTATTATTAAATTTTTGTATTTTTTAATAGGATATTTATAACATTTATTTATAATAGAGAGTAATTGCCTTTTTACATCAACTATTTTTACAGAAATCTAATATTGATTTAATAGGTATTAATATCGATTCAACAGATAGAAAAACAGTAATTAATATTATTTATTTTAAGTATTAAAAACACTGTCCTGTGCTTTTAGTATTTCAAATAAATAATTAAATAAATAATTAATTACTATCTTTCAGTAATAAATAGGTTAGTAGGTATTAACCCTTCGTAGATACATTTTTTTTTTACATATTACAGGCGAAATTTCACTCTCAAAATTCAAATTTCATTCTTGTTTACTATATTAAATAAAGGTTTTAACATTGAGTTAACATTTGAGTTAAGGAACTATTTGGCAATGAAGAATTATTTATCAGAGATGTTGAAAATCAATCCTGAATTTTTCTAGATTTGTTTGAAAGCCCAGAAGCCTTAATAAAAAAATTTCGGCTGAACAGAAAAGATCCAGAGTATCTATGAAATAAATATTTGTGTACTTACTAAGGGTTAAGTTGTACCAGCATTCTCTTTCTGTAAAGATATAATCTTTAAGCACATTTCGACGAAGCATTCTTTTAGCCGACGATTCTCAGTTTTATGTCTTATCGATTTTTCAGAGAAATTACTATTTTTTCTTTTTTTTGTAAGAGCTCTAACATTGATGAACACGATACATCGGTCGTTTATCCGGTAGCGCGCATTCTCGACACCGAAATTGCATACCTTCGTATACGTACACATACGGGTTGGAAACAAACGAATAGGGTTGTTCGGGCGCCGTAAAGGGTCCGGTGGGACGAGGCGCGCGCGCGAGGAGACAGGCGAGGGCGGGTGGGGCTGGAGATTCACGCGGGGGTTGTAGGGAGCAAAACGGTGGATGGTGGTGCCGGTGACTCGGTCGCGCGAGAGAGCGAGGGGTTTGGGAAACGTAATCGCTCTGGCCCCGCGCGCCTCAACGAACTGCCCCCCTACATGCTTCTCTCTTTGTCTCTCTCTCTTTCACCCTTCCCACGCCTCCGCTATTTATTGCTCGCACTCGGCCGGTTCACAACATAAATATGTTACACCTATGGCCGCACCTATTGCACTGAGTCCGCGAATTCCTCCGCTGCGGACCGAACGAAGAAAGAACATCGTCAAACGAATGGATTGGTACTTTTAGGAATAAATTGGCTCGTTTACCACTATTATCAGATATCGTGTTTGTATACTACGAAACGAGATAATGAATTTCACAATTTCGTCATTAATAGAACATTAATTTTGCAAAGAAACCTACAAGATATATAAAATTTTCTTAAAGCATAGAATGCTATGTGAATAAATTTTTTTTTAATTTATGGAATGAACATTTTTAGATGAATATTAATATCTGGAATAGGCGATTAAAAAAATTTTCTTTGATATTTTTATAATTAAAAAGTTAAAGGCGCGACTCTAATTTTATATGTATATATTTTATATGTATATATTTTTTAACTTTAAAATTTTTCAACTTTAAAATAATTTTTTAAATATTTTTTTATGCTTTGTGGGCATTGCAACATTAAATTGACAAAATTATAAAGCAAAAATTAATTGTTTTGTTGATATCTAGTCTTCAAATATCGTTCATTTATAAAAAAACAGCAACATTATATATATAATTATATGAAATAAAAAACATTTTATATATAATTATATAAAATAAAATCTCTTTCATTCTTTTTCTTGAATAAATAAAAACTTTTTTACTAATTAAATATAATGTCGTAATCATGTAGATTGGTTATAAACTATTATAAACTATTGTATAACTTGGTTAGTTTAAAAAGAACTTAGGATTATTTCAAATACAAGAGAAAAAATCCAGATATTATCTATTCGTTACTTTGTTTCATTATTCGGAATATATTTTCGCCTTGTTTTACGCAGAAAATTCCCTCAACTTTTTTTAAATACTTTTGTTACACCCTCAAGAAGTGCTTCTCTCAGGGTGTATGAACAGAGGGTGCCTGTTTGAAGGGTGGAAGCATCGAGGGTTAAGTTTCAAAGATAAAAGAAGGACCAACTGTTGAATATCGGCTCTCTTCCAGCTGACACCGATGCCTATTACATGTCAAACTTTCTTACATATACTATATTATATCCTAAAGTCTCATTTATTATATTTTATATAAATTTATTATATCTTATATAACATATTATATTTTATATAGAAATGTATATAGAATTAATTTTTATTAAAACTCTAGGCTTATTTAAAGTTCGATTAATTTAGATATACATTTTATATAACGTTATTTACATTCTAAGCGAACTAAATAAGTTTTGAAAAAAATTCTATTCAATTTCTCATAATTTTTTAGCAAAATAAACAATATGGTAAACAATAATAAGTAATTATAAGAAAATTAATATCTTTAAAAATTTCCGCATAATTATATTTCTTTATAAACTAAAATTTTACAGATATTTAGAAGAATACAGGTGTATAATATACTAAAAAGTCATCCAAAAATTAATTAAACATTCCTTGAATTTTATTTTTAATCATTTAACTTGTCTCATGATATTTCTATTGTACAAAAAATATTAAATTTCCACGCAAATGTCATATACGTATACTCTCATAAATTACTTACTCTCATAATTTATTTTTAATGTGTTTAGTTAAATGTTACTTGCCATTGATTGCTATCAGACATTATAATAAATACGCATTTTTTATTACACATAATAAAAGGCAAATTAAAATATGCATAAATATTTTTCTTTCACTTTCTAGATATGCAAGCAATGATCTTTGATGGCAAATAAATAATTTTCTTACCTCGTCCGTAACTCGTTGAAATCTTCGTCTTTGCCAATAGCTCTTGACTTTCAGTGAAAATGAAAGACGATCGGGCAGGTTTCTCAAAACAGGTTTCTCGAAGCACAATTAAATCTTTCACGTCACAATAGTACAATATGACAATGACTCAATCAATCATTTATATAAAATGCGTTAAAAGATATAAGGAGGGATCGAAGGAAAATGAAGAAAAGAGGAAGGTAAAAGAGAAGAAGAATGAGCAAGCAAGCGCAAGGGAATGATAGAGTGAACTGAAAGAATGCGCTGCAGAAAGAAGCTGGAATTCAGAAGGAATTCGCGCAAAAAGGAAACGGGGAATCCCCTAGGAAGAGAGACACAATTCTCCGCTATCCCTAGCGGTGAGAACACCGTCGCTCCGATCCCTTGTAAGCTCTCTCGCAAGCTCTGTCGAGAGCGCCCGTTCTCGCGCGCGCACCGGGCTCTCGCAGCTCCGCGAATGCACGTGCAACTCGGACGCGTGCCACGTGGTGTTTGGTCGGAGTGGCTCGGCCACGAAAGCCGGAGCCGGAGCGGCGAGCTTGCAAGCTACTGGGCGCTTTTCATTGGCCGATGGGTGGAAACTGCGCATGATTGCGGGTGTGGCCCGAGCTTGAGGGGCGGAATAAGCTCGTGTCGGTGATAGGATACCCCGAAAGGGGGCACGTCTCCATGAGTGGGAGGTGGGCCCCGGGTGCCCCAGTCACCACCTCGCCACCCCCTCGTGTCTCCGGAGCTTTTTCCTTAATCTCATAACGAGCGCGAGAACTGCTCTCCCGTCCGAGCTTCGAACTTGCAAACTGGCTTCTTCCGCGTGAACGGGCGTGCTCTTTCCAGGAGATGGAATGGCGGCACTCGAGTGTTTGTTATTGCAGAGGAAATCATGCGGTGAACCCGAGAATCAAATCTTAAGTAGTAACGGCAGTGTCAAATCAGACATTGCGTGAGACACTTTGGCCAAGGCATTCTCGAATGAAAAATTTTGTAAAAAGGCCTTTTACATACAAGTTGTATATTAAAAAGTGAAAGTTCTAATTGCGCACTCTATTATATAGTAATATTTTTTTGTTTTCAAATTATTTATGCATTTACTATTTACCAGGAAAATTAGCTAATATATCTTTATAAATTTTTAACCACATAAATTTTGAGATAATTGGTTTAACTATTTTAATTCTGTAATCAACAGAAAAACAAAGGCAAAGAAATCAAAATTTTCAATAGAAATGAAATGTGGTTTATGAAATTTATGAAAAAGTGTTTATTTGAAATTTTTATTTAAAGCCTCTATTTATTTATACACATACAACACACACACACACACACACACACACACACACATACACACTCGCGCGTGCGCGCGCACATACACACATATATGTATGTATATATAATATTGTTTAAAATACAGGAAGTGTTGTTTTATGTACTGTTGGAAAATAACTATATTAGTCTAAGAAAAAATGCAAATATTGATTGTGAATGGTAATACAAAATAGTTTTCTTTTTTAGCAACAGGTGGAAAGGCTTTTAATGCGTATTATACCAAAAAACAGATATATGTACACGCACGCACACATATACACATCATATATAAAACACATATATTGAGAAAGAAGATGAAGAATCTTACAAAAATGAGAAGGTAGAGAAAGTACGAATCTCTGATTTGCGAAATTCTTGCTGATGATTCGAACAGATTCAAATACTTATTCGTGCGGTATTCATGTGGTCAGACAATTGCAGTCGGTTCATGGCATCTCACCAAGCCGCGAATCCGCGATAAAGCAAAAGTCTAATCACAGTTGATCTGATAATTAGATCAGACTAACTAAACTTGGTGAATCAGTTGGGAATTTGATTTGGGGGACAAGGGTGCAGATCTCCATCACGTATTTACACGGTATGTCTACCGATTGGCGTACTCGCCAATTTTATCCATTCACTTTTACTGAGGTGATATTTGCGTTGAAATTGTCTGACGCGATGTATTATCGATTATGGCTCGAATTTTCGAGGTCGACGTTCCGTCAGTTCAAAGATGTTTTCATCATGAATTTCAATTGTTCGATGACTCGTGCTAAAAACCTATAGAATTTATTGATCCACTAATAATGACTAATTAATTTTTCATAACGGCACAACTCAACGCAATAATTATACAACAATATAATAATTTATTACTACATTTACTTGCGCTCGTCGAATATATTTAGGGATCATATCTCATGCTAGTGTGAATGAATAATTTCTTTTATAAATAAATCTAAAAGTACTTCTTATTACATTATCATTATTAATCAACGAAATAATATACTAATAATTTCGAACTTCAATTTATTGGCTCAAAAATTTTACACCTTTTTTTATCACAACGAAATTTTGTTTCCGAATTTGAATGCGAATATGACGTTTATACGTATATCAAGGTGGCTAGACACGACGATTAAAACAAAATTAAATTTTAATTAATTTTATTATTAAATTATATTTTATATTAAGTAAATAATTAGTCTTCCGTCTAAAATATCACACATTTGTCAACGAATCGAACGACGTCTTGTGCAAAATTGAGATGCCAGGAAGCTCTCATTTCGGTATGCCATCCACTAGACGCTCGTACGTGAATGTTTAACGGTTCGTCGTCTCGGCGGCCGCCCAATTATATGACGTCAATTATTGATTAATTGCAATTATAACGCGAACGGTTTCGAGAGGGCCCGATACGGATATAACGATCGCCATTTCATAAATTCGCAATGACGTGAGAGAACGGGCGAGCGCGGGCTCCGCTCCGCGCCGACCTCTGAGTGACGTGTCATTTATCGCATAACGCGAACGTTTATGCGCATTCGTGTCGCATAATTGCAATTAGAGCGGAATTCATTTACATCGACCGACATTCGATTTGTTCCGAGAGAAAGCCCGGGATTTATACGCACCCTCGGCGTGGCGCGGTGGACGCGCGCGCGGACGTTCGTGTTAGTCGTGTCGAGATTTATTTCCGCGCGCGTCAATGCCGCCGCGACAGTTCCGCGATGTAAATAGGATTGGATTAGCCGTTACCGACCGCTTTCGCGAACGAGAGCAAGAGAAAGAGAGAAAAGATGGGAAGTACCCCTCGTTATGCGATAACGATGGAAGATAAACTGCCTGAAGCCGCATCGAGAAATACGTTGATGAAAGATACATGATTCGATATCGCGCGATAACTCTTAAGAACGTAAAACAAAACATTGAATAAAAAAGAATTATATTTCAATCTAATTTCCAATTTTATTTTTTGCACATTATTTTTTGTGCTAAACTGCATTTTACTTTCAATGTTATAGATTTATGTATTTTTTTAAAAAGATATTTAAAAAGTTTAATTATTACACATACATACATAAATTTATAATAGTATATATGTACACAATTATTAAGCGAGTCTATGTATTTCTTATTTTAGAAGTGACATAACTTACATAAAATATGAATTTTGAATTATTATGAATGAGTAACATTAGTCTATTAATTATCAAATGAATTAACTTACTCTTCTTAAGACTTTTAAAGTTAACTTCCTTATTTTCAAAAGTGACACAGGTCAAAAAGATTTTCTAAGAATTGTAAAACGAAAATTAAAAAAAATGATTTTTTTATCACATTAAGAATATATTCTTTTATTTGATATTATTTGATTTAAGTCAATAATAATGTTCTAAGTTACTTTTGAAATAAGAGATATTTAATATAATTATAATAACATTAAATATAATTTTTCAAAATATTCTGTGATGTAATGTCCTTCATAGCTTTTTAAATTAATTTCGGAATTTTAAAAAAAAAATATTGAAGCTAATTATTATCTCTTTTTTTAATTTTATATATGTGTACCACTAAATATTTTTATATTAAATTTAATCGAAATTATATTAAAGTAAAAATGTTTTGGAATTAATTGAAAAATGTTGGTCAATTATGTACTCGATCTCTTCAAGTTGAATTTTCACTTAAGAGAAGTTTACATTTTCTATAGCTATATCAAGTCACTTTTTCTGTAGTTATGTCAAGAGTTGTTAACATATCGATGTTTCTGTTGACGAAAGATGGATTTTAAAGTGTGACCGAGAAATCTGTAACAAAAGAGAGATACAATGCGCACTCCATACATCCCAGAAAGATGATTGATGACGAGTACAAAACGGGAATTCGAGTTTACAGCGCGAAATAAAGTACTGCGTGCCGCGTTTCCAAATTGTTTTAGTCTCCCGTTGCGAGACTATAACGGTCGGCGCGGCGCGGCGTTGCAATGCGAAATTTTATACCGATTTTTCCAAAGCCGCACCATTCTACCGACGAGGCGAGATTAAAAGATAATACCGACGATCCAATTTAATCGCACGATTGACGGGTAAACAGACATCGCGCGGCGCTATCCTCCGTTCGTTCTCTTCACCCTCTTTTTAGGACAAATCGTCCGTAGCGCGATGCCTTCGGACTCGGTAGAAAATATAATTCAAAGATATTTATAGCTGGATTACCGCTGGAATTGGGTATCTAATATACATGACCGAACCACCGAGTCGCATGAATTTTAATTGTCCCACTGAAAACTCGATCTTTCTAGAATATCGATTCACAATAATCATCGAATGTGCACGGATTTCATGAACGGTGTGTTATAAATGATGCGCTTAATATGTCTGTGGATGAGTGTCAGATACTATTTTAAGTCGCGAATTCGTAGTCACTGCGGAGAACATACTGGACAAGAATTTCTCGGTGATTTGGGGAAGGATTAGCCGCAATTGATAGCCACTGAGAAACGGAGGGACGTTTCTGAATTTGTTCGCCGTTCAAAGAGCGACCGTCGTAGATGAATTCGCGGAGTTGCATTCTTATTCGGATTTTAATTAATATTTTCGCGCATATTACAATTTTTGTAGTTAGTGATTAGTTAACTATTTGTCTCAATTACGATCCTATAAAAGTAAAAGATTATAAATACAGTTTTGACTAAAAGTATTAAGCACTTTACTAATCATGCTATGCAATATCAGATTCTCTTTAAAAACGCCATATTTTCGTACTGAACATTTCTGCCGTTGGCAGAATTTGCGTAACACACCAACATTCTGAATAAATTAAAATGG